TCGGAATATCAACACTCCTTGATTGGTAATACTAGGTTAGCTAACATAGAAAAACTCGTACCAAATTTGATGGATAAGACAAAATATATAGTTCACTACAGAAATCTCCAGTTATATCTATCTAAAGAAAATACACAGAGTTCTAAAGTTTGATCAAAGCCCTTGGATGGAGCCCTATATAAGGTTGAACACAGATTTAAGAAAGATAGCTACCAGCGATTTCGAAAAGAATCTATATAAGCTCATGAATAACTCAGTATTTGGTAAAACTATGGAGAATCTAAGGAAGCGTGTTGATGTTAAATTAGTCAGGTCGAATGAGGAAGAAAGACTCAGGAAACTTATAGCCAGTCCGGCTTTTTACAGAAGCAAGATATTCGATAACGACTTAGCCGCGTTGCATATGCAGAAGAGTAATATAAAATTCAACAGACCGGTGTACGTCGGTATGAGTATTCTCGACTTGTCAAAACACTTAATGTATGACTTTTATTACAACAAACTTAAGAAGCAATACAGCGATAGATGTGAGGTGTTATATACCGACACAGATTCTTTGTTGATGGAAATACAAAGGAGGATGTGTATAAAGATATGGCAGAAAAAATAGATATGTACGACACGAGCGATTACCCAAAAGATAATCCACTGCACAGCGTAGTAAATAAAAAGGTGTTAGGTAAGATGAAGGATGAATGTGCTGGGACTCCTATAGCGGAGTATGTCGGATTAAGACCTAAAATGTATTCTATAAAGAAGTCCGTTAATGGAGAGATAAGAAAAGCTAAGGGTGTTAAAAAGTATGTGGTAAAAAAGCATATCAAACACGAACAGTATAAAGAAGCATTATTCAATGGTAGAACGTTCAAACATGAGATGAACTCTTTAAGAAGTTACAATCATAGGATATATGGATTAAGAATGAACAAGACATCATTATCCCCCTTAGATACAAAGAGATGGATTGATAAGGATGGTACTTATGCTTATGGTTATTTAGGGTGGTAATACTGTATCGTCGGGAACTATGAGCAACTCTTCTTGTACAAATGCCCTGCCCTGTCCATCTTTAAGATAATAAAGAATAGGCTCTCCTTCTTTCGTAACCAATCGACTAATGTTATATGTCTTAAGGGACCAAATCGGATCGGTTGCGCGACGTAGGCCTCCTTCGAGTTCACCTGGCTGGTATAAATATCTTAGGCTTACTCTATCCGGAATTTTTTGTTCTTTGCCTCTCCTCGGTGCTGAAGATTCGGAAGTCACGGATTTCATTTTAATCGCATTGGATGGTTTCTTCCCGATTAATCTCGTTACTTCATTATTCAGCGCTGATACAACAGCTGATAATCGTGTCACCCATTCGGTTGATCTCAATAGCTCGGATTTCATTTCGATCCCATACTGATATCCAAACAAATGTTCCGCTAATGTCCTGTTAAATCTTTCGACGATAGCTTGACTGCGGTGGGCCTCTCTTTCACCACGCCTGATTTCGACATCGTGCTTTGTTAACAGTTTAGTTATTGATCCCATAAACTCGCGACCTGGATCTACTTGAAATAGCTTAGGCCATTTTAGTGGTCCGCGTTTATATATGCGACTCAGTGCATTAGCTACTTCTGTTCAATCTTTCGAGGTTAATGGCTCAGCCTCTTTGTATCGACTAGCCACATCCACTATGGTTAAAGCGTATATATATGTTTCGCGTCTTACCTTATCGTGGGGAAGAAACAAGAGGTCAGCCTGATGGACTTCATTCGTTGTAAAAATATCAAACTTCTTCCTCGGTAAATAACGCGGTGCTGGTAAGTATATTTGCCACATCGCTTGTTTCTTTAACCAATCCTTGGCTACATCTTTAGATACCTTAGCTGCAGTGGCTAATTTTTTTATTGCTCCTATACCTTTCCAATATCCTCGTGGGCTCTGCATGTAAAACAATGTATGAAATCATCATGTCTTGTGGTGTTTTATCGTAAATTCAAATTTTTAGCAAGTTTATCCCCTTTTCACCTGAAGCGATATGATGTTTCTGACTGCACACAATATATATAGAGATTACTACACGAGTGTCTGTCAGATACCATTGATCTTACAACGAGTTGTAAGATCAATGGTATCTGACAGGCACGAGGGCAGTAATCTGTTTCTTACAACCCTAAACATCCTATGTATTGCTTACTACCCATAATAATGTGACCCTACACAAAAAGGTTTCTGCCATATTTGTGGATTATCAAGGCGATGACAAAACAAAGAACACGCTGGATGCCGAGTTAAAAGTTCACACCTCAAAGAAATTACCAAATATGTACAACAATGTTTACCTCTGTATGACATCACTACTGGTGACCGACTTTTACAAAATGGCGTGTTCACTGACAACGGTACGCGGGATTTCTAGATTAGGGTTTTCGTTGATTGAGGGATCGTGTGTACATAAATGTGATACGTAAGTAATCACAAACATTCTGACAATCTGTGTACTGTTATTGGTTTACCATGTTTTCCAATGTAACAAAGAGAATTAGTCAGAAATGCAGATAACTGCCGTCGTCGTTGTGCGTGATTTAGCGTCAGTCATGGCGTCACACAGGACAGAATTTACCACATCATTGTATTAAATGTATATATTTGAAATTCCATAATTAGTGCAACGATACTCTTCCCATGAATATTCTCAAACGTGTGATCTAGCCAATGTATGCAACAATTAGACGAAAGTACCTCTAAAAATGCTACACAGTGTAAAATCTGAATTTTGCTTGTTTGCATTTCAGCAAGTAGAGTTTTCCGAGCACAGTGTTTGTTTCCACACCTAATTTATTTCGAATGATTTCATCTAGATAATTTGCATTGGTGACATTTGTTTCTAAAATGTATGAGGACTTCAGGGATGCATGTAGAGCAGCTGAGTTTGAAATATACCTGATCGAATAGGCGCCTCATAACCGGCATTTTGTAAACACATTCCAATATGGCGGAACGTACACTTCGGCGTTCGTGTATGCGAAATTTCTAAAACATTCTGATCGATTCTAGGCTATCAGCGACGTTTCAAAATTATCATTACTCATTTGATACCCGACATCACTAATATGCTATTTTTTACATTAATTTTTCGAGTAAATATCCGTTATTTAGATTTCTAAACACTCTCTGGTAAATAACGCTGTGATTTGTGATTTGGCAAGCTTTACGATGTGAATTTTATTCGACTTTGAAGTGAGTGTTGAAGAGGAGGGACATTACACTCTAAAAAACGACAACGTTGACATAACAACAGATAATGTAACTGATAATAATAACTAATGAATACAGACAAATAAATACAGACGTAGGTGAACATTCGACTGAAGCACGAGCAACTTATGCATGACTTATACTCAGGAAAGTAGTCCGTCATCATCTGACCTCAGGTCATCACCATGGAGTAGCCAATCACGGGCCTTGAATTCGATCTCACACATATGTTTGATACCAGTTATCTCAAATGGGATTCTCACCCACAGGTGTGTAAGAAATACAAAATAACAATTGTTACCAAACGTGTACTTGAATGGGATGTGCATGTTTTACTCGAGTGAGCACAAAACATAAGACATAGTTTTAAAAATATTATTAATCCTCTGTCAAATTATTCATATTAATGTTAGAAAATTATTGTTTAAATATGCAGTAATTACATGTAACCTTGGATGGGTTAGTTTACATGTATCCATGACTTTACCCACCAAAGATTATTGATATAATTCCGGAGTGAGAACGGAAAAAAAATGGCATATGCTAAATACTGAAAGTAGGTCACCTTTTAGACTGGATTAGTAGGACCGACCTCCCAAACATACATGGGCTGGCTCACAGGTGTTGAGCCAAACCCATTGCAATATGAGAATAACTTGTTGACGGTTAGTATACAGTGCATGTCATGTCCTCTACCTGAGGGGGTCTCTGGGTAAACGGACAGTAGGCCAGGATCCAAACTAATGATACCCATACTGGTGACTGTGGCACTAACGGGTCGTTTCCTGACACTCCAAGCAGCAATGGTAATTACTGTTAGAGGTCTTGTGGAAGTGGTGGGAAACTGCCCCATGCCCTGTCTTTCAATTATGAAAGTGGCCCCACCTATCTATCAAGTGTTAGTCGGCCATGAGAAACTGACTCTGAAAGAGAAAATCGAGCTCCACATCCTATCATAGTGGTGGGTAGACTTTCATCTGTGGAACCAATTGCCACTCTTGACCCAATCCAATGGTGAAGTAACTTCCCATTGGTGGACCGAGGCCAGGTGCTTGTCCAGCATAGCCTGCATGCTTTCCTGCTGATCTTTCATTTACTCTCTCACAAGAAAGTTGAGGTGTGGCATCCGTCTGTGGGAGGATTGAGCTTGTCCTCCTGCTTCCTATGAAGATGCCCACATTCTGGTCTGTGTGTAGTCAGAATCACCACCTTCTTCTTGGCTGCTTCATTCCTTTTTTACATCATCCAGGATTTAGTGACCTTGAGAAAATCATCCCGTGGGAGAGAAGTACACTGGGTGCATCTGGACACCTCTGAACATTGAACATATTGGCACTTTTGGCAGGAAATGTGCCAACACGCCTTACAGTTGGGTGGAGGAGACACCATTCTTGTTCCACACAAAATATTTACACCTATGAAACTAAATACCTCAGGTAAACTAATCCTTGCAAGTAAGAAGCACGATCTAATCTTCTTGTAAACTGAAATTTCAAACATTACAGAGTGAAAACGACCAGCTTTCACACTATGATATTATTTTAATATTCCTTATGTTGACATTAGCACACACAGGAAAGAAGTGAAAGGTTTATGAAGGGAGATACTTTTGGTATCTCAACTGGTTATGGATAGTAGACATTAACAGGATTTCTTTTCATGACATTCTGTTCAGTGTGAATACAGCAGAAGTACAAGATTTCTGGTACTGATGATGTTACAGAGATTTTGCATTCTAAGACTTATGCACTTACCTGGCCTGTATGCCATATGGTCCTTGAATGGTAGCAGAAGCCTGCAAGGGGTTCTCTTTGGACTTTGAAGGCGAGGTGAGATCACGTTGGTGGTTCTGTCGACGTGGATGTTTGTGCCACATGTCATCACATTGCGCACAGAGCAGCTTATAGTCACAACTACTGCACAGTTTTGTTGCTTCTTGAGCTCCACATATGTCACACACTGGAATACATATATATAGGGAATGGTACTTTATAGTCTTTGATTTATATTTAATATGAGGGATGCAACATATAGCATTATGCACAAAAATCCAGAAATAAATGGTGTCCTTTTAAAAGATTGATACTTAGTATGAAACTGTTTTCACACACAAACATTTGTAAGGCTTCACATGGTCATCTGCAGTCATCTCCCTTGTTATTAGGGCTAGTCGCATGATGACGCATGAGCAGACGCTAGCTTCTCAGGTCTGCGACCATGTCAGAAATTGGCAAAAGAAACAGCCTCCATCATCTCTACACAAATGGGTACAAAACTACGACTGAGTGTGCACAGCATGACTGGCATCCATGCATGTCTCTACTGTGCACAATAATCTAAAGAAGTTTGGCTCAGGCACTCAGGCATTCGTGCATCCAGGCAGTTTGGATCAGAACATACATCCATTTGATGCTAACAACTGATGACATTTTGCACAACTTGCCCTCACTGATTGCAAGGGCTATAAAGGAGGTGATATCATATCCAAGCACTGCATTTTTTAAAAAACAATAGGAGAAACAGCAGTCAAATTCAGACAAAACCTTAAAGGGGCATCTGGAGTACTCTGAGTGGGCGGAGCTTATACGAGTGATCTGAAATTCAATATGACGTCATGATAAGACACAAATTTCATTTGTTAATGCGTAAAGGGGTGACGTCATGTAAACACCCACCCACGGGGGCCGTTTGATAACACGGACGTAAGTTTTAATGGTAATAAATATCCATCAAACGGTTCCAAGACTTTTCAAGAAACACGTATGTTTTTGGTTTCAAAATCTACCTGCCATATCGTCTTCACATCTTCATGAAATGATACTGTGGAATGTCCACGATTAATATAACACAGTTCAACACACAAATTATAGTTCTGCACTATTCTGTGGATGATAACGAAATATGTTTGTTGTGATGAATAAGAGCAGGGTAATTGAACAACACATCATGATATTTGTTTGTTTTTTTGTTTAACGCCGCACTCAGCAATATTCCAGCTATACGACGGCGGTCTGTAAATAATCGAGTCTGGACCAGACAATCCAGTGATTGACAACATGAGCATCAATCCAAGCAATTGGGGTCGATGACATGCATCATGAAAGCATTTTTTTGTCGTTTCCGTCACGTTTTCATTTAGGAGATAAACATACTGTGTTTTCAATGTAGAGCTAGGTTACCTGTAGATTTAACCCTGCTAATTGAATTTGGAACCGAACGGGTAGCGCGAGGTTTCAAATGTTAAATTTAGCGCGGTTAAATCTACAGGTAACCTAGCTCTACATTGAAAACACAGTATGTTTATCTCCATTCTACCATGACTAAATAAAATGCGAACTCTTTGGTGTTAGCAAATATACTGAGTGAAGCGGCATGAGTTCAGTGTTTTGAGTGGGTTATCGATCTGAATTACAGAATCACCGAACAAAATATGGTGCTGTATATACTCAAGCAGTTTGTTTACACCGTAATACTTCACTCGAACATATGACAGGCATTGAAAGCATATAAGCACGGCAACTTGGTAAGCTAACATGAGGTGGGCATCCCTAAAGAAAACAAAGCAAGCTTTGAAAGGCTTTCGCTCTAAATCGCACGTCACCATTATGATGTCATATCGCTCATTGTGACGCAAAAGATATGACGTCACAGTCGTATATAGAAAAGCGCCAAAATTCCAAGCTTTCTGGTGTCTCCAAAACGTAAATACATTCCCTTTGTTGATTTCTGTCGTGTTTTTCTGCATGAAATGAATTGCCACGCATCCTTTGAATATTGTAGTAACCGCATCTGTGAATTTTGTAGCCGGTAATTGTAGATATAATTATTTAAATATGCCTACCGACAATGATTGAAAATAGTACTATTCTATGAATGTTAGCTTCCGCGGTGATGCTGCCGTCAAACCAGCTGTTTCAATCAGAGGGGGTTTATTGTGATTTAATAGCCTCTGATTGACCAATCAGAATCGAGTAAATTCCAAATTCATGGTAGAATGCCCAGCAATGTGATTCACACTTTTCTGAAAGCTCCTCATGCCTAAGTCACTCGATTTCGTGAAACTTAGCGGTTCCCAGTGACCCAGATTCCCAGTTGATTGGCATGCAAAGTGTCATTTGCATAAGGCCATCCATATTTTATGTATGTGTTTCTCCCCAGAAGCCTCAACTAACTAGAGAGCGGGCGGACGAAATAAAATATATTACTTATTAAAAAATGTCTTTCAATGATTGTGTAAGTTATTTTATGACATTTAAAAAAACTAGTCTATGAATAAATTTATGATGTTGATCGAGTCGCTTTGCTTCAGAAACAAAACTTTAATCAACAACTGAAGAAAGATAAAGTTGACCTGGTTCTTATACGACGATGCAATGGTAGATCTAGTAGTATTTCTTTTATTTGATCAATGCAAAATTTTCCACAGCTGCAGGAAAGATTGAGACACGAAAACTTGATATTATTTCACGTCGGAATGGAGATAAAACATGACAGCCTCACACACTTCGAAACGATGTTCAGATAAATATTTGTTCACATTCATTCTGTCATGTGCGTGAACATGGATATCAACATTATTTTCATCAAGATTATTCAGGTCGCTGGCTACACAGATCATCTCTTGTAAACTACTTTGGCATGAACACATGTTTGGTCTCAAAGCTTAAAGCAACAATGTTTCTCTCGGATGCATTGTTTCTCCATCCATGACGAAGATCTGTCATAATGTCAATGCCTCAACAATCTTCCTGGTCAGTTGATTTCAACGATGTAATACACAGCCTCATTCAAGGCGTAATCACAATATTCCTTCGAAATACCCACCACGTAATCAGGGTTACGACCTTGGGTGAATTAATAAATTGATTTGCATTTTTAGAAAAGAAATGTTTTTGTGAATACATGTACAATTATTAAAAAACATCCTGTGCATGGTACTTTTTGATTGCACTGCAGATTTCTTTTATTTATTTCTAAAACACGGTCCATGAACGCTTCCAAGTTTGACTGCTGCTTACAACTCTCAAGACTTTTGCAAGTTCACTTGTCTTCAGTATGAGCAACAAAACATTTTTGTGTGGCACTTTGCTATTTATAGCGCAACCCAAAATAAGCTCCGCCCACTGTGATTGATGCAGCCATCAAACACGATCAATTCGATTTTCTATAATTAAACTATAGAAAAATTATTCACTTATATCTAGATATGGAGCCATTTGTGGTATCCAAGGTTTGTCATTCAAGTTGATACGAAGTTTGACGGTCAATGGTGATCTTGTTTGTGAACAGTTTTCAAAAAGCTTCTCCAGACACTCGGTTGTGTTTACATTGTCAGTCACTGTTCAAAATTGCCACCTTACAAGCTATTTAGAGTCAGGGTGGGGCTTTAAAGCATTCCCATTGTACATTATAGATATCCTCTGATTGCAATAACCTCTGTGATGGATTTATGAGAAAGTATGATGCTACTATTTTTCATAATTACCTTGACATAAATGACGGATTTGTAAAGAAGGTAAGATATAATAAGTTGAATGACAAATAGATTATGTATTTTTCGTGTCAACTGCAGTATTTGGGTCCCCACTTCGGGGGTTTCCATATGGAAACTGCTCCCGAAAAACAGCTTTGCTTACATATAAGTGCGCACTCGCTAGCGTGCCAGAACCGTTTGGGGGCATTTGTGAGCAAAAAGGACACCAAATATGAGCTGGATGTGAAAAGTATGGTCTAAAACTTCACCCCTGGGGGGGCCAAGAGTTTTACGATAGAAAGTGAAGTCGAATTAACTTGGTGTCGACTTCGTGTTGTTTATGGGCGGGACATAAATGACGTAAGATGTCATGTGTCTGATCTGGACTCGTTATTACGAAAGCAACTTCGCTCATAACTTGTAAATTCATAAACTGTGGCTTGTACAAATAAAGCAAAGTCGACTTAGAGAGCAGTGAAGACATCTTGGCATAGGTATGGGACGAATGCGGGAATGTATGACAATTATTTTGTTCACATTATCAGAAAAGAAATATTTCAGTTGTTCAGCTGATCATTTTATTCAGTTTCTTAGTTCATGAGCTGTGTTTACATTTATCAGAACTTAGAAGCAAAATGATCGTTTAAGAAAAAGATGAAAAAGAAGCAGAAAAAGAAATTTAACTAGGTCTAGATGGATCCACAGACTTATTTGACAGTCAAGACGAATTCAAAGTCTCAAATTATTTGTTTGAATAAGAAAGTATCTATCGATGATCATTTTCCTATGAAGTTATACAGTAGTGCGATTTATTAGACAAATGGGGGGGGGGTCGGCCCCCATTTACCCCCCGTATTTTACTTTAATTTTTTTATAAAGGTGGAGTTGTACCTGCCTTGAACCCCGCTGTATTTTTCGCCCAAGAAAATATATTGTTCTAGAAACAGAATGAACTTACTGTTGTGCGATGTATTTGAAAAAAGGGGAGTTACACCACCCTTTAACACCCGTTTTTTACTTTGGTAGTTAAACCCCCAGTGTGTTATCTGTGTAAGAAAATACTGAACTGCAGACAGTGTTCGAAGGAAAAATGGCAGCCTACAAATCCTCTCGCTTTGACTGTAAATAACAAACTTCACATGCGTGGAACATTTTTCATTTGACAACTTCTGTAAAAAGGTGAAAGCGTTTGTTCCGGTTTGGGCACACAAATACTGCAGTCGACCCTATTTTTCATCTTGACTTATATGAATTGCTTATCTCATCTCATTCTGAAAAGGTAGCGTATGAGTCAGGATAAATCTAAATGATATTTTTACCCTAAAAAATACATATTTTACATTATCCTGACTCTAATCATGATTGTTCAATTAACCCATGGGAACGTCTTCTTACTTCTTGGACATCAATCTGAAGTGGGGCACCACCTCCATACTTGTGAGAGAAGGAGAAAATCAAGAGATTTCATGGACTTAGAATTACATAG